CAAGCCGGCTTTTGCGAAGACTGCCATTAACGCCAAACCATCCACGCGAAAGACTGTACTGATGTTGTCAATGAGCCACTTGGACATCTGAATCAAACAATGCGGTATTCAACAACAAGTCTCGGTTTTGTGTTGTAAGGATTATGTTAGTTAAATTTTAAAAACAGTTAACAGTTAAATTTTAAAGTTCCTTTCCTGTCAAATTCTTAACTTCAACTTACTACTTCCGGCCAGAACGTAGTTTTAGAATCACTTTGAATACATAATGAGGAAAAGTGGTATTTAACCGCGAAGTTCTACTTGCTGAGTTAGAGAGAGAATCCGAGTTTCTGATTAGCGCGCGTTCGCCTTTTGGGCTACTCTCTCTCTCAAAGCTGTTATTACGCTCGGTCGTACTCAGGCCCTTGATAGCTTCGCAGTTAATTAGCTTAAAGGGGCCAACTCGGTTAGAATCTTGATAGCTTCGGCTATATCTCTTTAGTTTTAATTAGTTTTAGGTACTTCTTAGCCTCTTAAGTTCAAGCCCAAATGTCGGCTTTTATTGTACACTCCAAGACGGAGTTCTGTTAAATCTTATTTGAATAATAAAGGGTTATTTACCCTTTGATCTTGTTGTTTCTTGTCACACGAACTCAAGCGATTATTCGCTTAACAGTTCTTAAGATTCTTCACGTTCAGCAATAACTTAGCATTTACAAAGTGAGGAACTCTACAGTGTGTCTGATGATGGTCACCGGTTAAGAGTATGGAGGCGGCGGAGAGATGGATCTAATGCGACAACTGTTGCTAAACGTTATATTGCTCGCTCGTCAACGTAGCATAAGAGTGCCATCAGTCATGAGAGCAGATCACCCCTATTACGTATCAGAGATACATTGACGCCAAGATGACACGTTGATGAATTATTTCAGTCGGTTGTGCTACTTTACCTTCTGTGGCTTCAAAATAGTATTTTCCAGAAGAACAACGCGACACTGCACACGGCATTCGTTAGCCGACAAGTCTTGCAGTATGTCCCATTGCTTCTTTGCCCTGCCATGTTCCCTAAACTTTCGCTGATAGAGCATATTTGGGACCTGAGTAGTAGCTGATCGAGCATATCTACCTGCTCTGCCCCAGCCGGTATTGGACGAACTTTGATTGGAGATCCGGAATATATGGACTTCCATCCTTCAGGATACTATCCGCACACTAATGAATGTGTACCTGGTTGGGCTGCAGCTTGAATCTCCGCGAGAGGTGGTAATACTTCTTAATGATTTCATGTGTATTTCAGCGCTGTATAAGTTTACTATTCTATAAATAACATCACTTATTTACATATACATGTTCTGTCTCTATATCAAATGACATCACATTCTACCCAGTCTTTCGTGGTGTTGTATTTTCTATATCGGGCAGTGTATAAAGGAAGAAGTAATTAAAAAATCATATTTATTTACTCTTTTATTTTCTCATATTAATTTTGCTGCAAGTTCATCAGTTTAAATAGATTTCATGGTTCTTTTTTTTTCTTCATGTTATAGGCAACATATGAAAAATAAGGTGTTCTATGGAATATCTGAGAAATATGTAAAATCCCCGAGACAAAGTATTAGTTTAGGGTAAAGTAGGAAATATCCGAATTATTTTAATAATATGTATAGACTTAGCTTAGGCATTATATATTTAATACCTAATTATTATACAGAACGACAAATGCTGGTGTTTTTTTTGGGGGGAGGGGGTCCATGAAATTCATGGAAGAATGGGTTGTCAGAACCTAAAGGTGGTCGAACTTTTACTTCCACTCCAATGAGAGAGAGCACCGCGGGGGGTGGGGGGGTTTCAATGGTCTTCCACCCCCTCCTTTCACCAAACCATACGAGAGGACTTTCGGCTTGCCATATATCTGGAGTGACTCCATACCGCAAAGACACTATACATTGACAAACATCCATCCCTTCTCAAGGATTCGAACTCGAGACCTTCGGTACCGCAGTAGGCTTCCCTTACCACTAAACTGTCCAGGTGGCATGATAAATGCGATTTATTTTTAGTAAAAACAAAGGTTTAAAGGCGAGTCATTATAAGGTTTTGCTGAAAAGAAGTAACTTAGAACTCGATAGCATTAACTCCTTCTTTAACGCGACAAACCAGTTTACTTTTTTCCCACTACCACCACATCCTTGTGCTTCAAAACCTTAAAAGTTCAGTAGCTTCTTCTCAGAAATCATCTTAGACATTTCTTCGCTAACATCTGGTTTCTGTTAGGAAAACGCTTTTTACAGCATTCGCTTGCACTTTAAACAATTCCTCATAGCATTAGTGTTACATGCCATGACTTCTTCTTAGACACTAATTCTCAGCATGTCATGACTTATCTCAGATATTACGCCTTGCTCTTCCTTTTTTCATACAGCACTATATGGGATGTGTCTTTGCTGAGAAAGTTAAAAGTACAGTATTTCTTCACTTCTAAATAAAGATTAAAATGTAAATAGCGAATTCTCCGTCTGAGGAGAGCGTTGAAAATAATATGTCTTACCACTTAGCACAAAAACATCATTAACGAAGATGTTTAGCCCAGAAGGGCTATTAATTTCGATTTGGCATTTTGCGTTGATTCACTGTAAATGGCGAATCACTTTTTAAATTATTGACACCAAAAATTAGAGCCATCTATTATATTTAAAGAAATTAAATGATGAAGAATCTGCATAAATGTATGTATGTTTCTCGCATTGTGATAAAACAACGCTATCTAGAACCATAAAATCTTGAATAAAGTACGTCTCCACCCGAATATGGGCATCTGGAAGCCGAAATTTGGAATTTTTTTTATCGAATTCATATTCTGTAAATTCATTTACGATTAAGGAACTCAACGATTTCAAAGCGAGCAATGGCAACACTGTAAAGTTAAAAAAATTATTTCCAGCGCGCGAGACTGTGCGAAAAACATGATATTTAATAAATAAACGTAACACACAAAACGTTAGAAAAAGCCCTTTTGGGCGTAATATAAAATCTGAAAGATTTGGGATTTTTTTCTTGTTTTTTTATATTTTATTGGTTTATCTTTTGGCACTGCATATCATGCCTAGGAAGTATGAGAAATATTAATTGCTTTATATGTCGACTTTCGGCATTCTGTATATTATATTGTCTAGATATTCTATATATTACCTAGGCATTATATCTAATACCTGCTTTCATTACATTGTCAGTAACATATGCATATATGCATGCATAAGTGAGGGCCTACAGCTTAAAATACGCAATAAGTGAGGGCCTACAGCTTAAAAGTATTTTGAAAAAGATGGCCTTACACATAAGATGCCATCCCATTTATGGGCACGTGTATTACAGAATGTATTATTTCGTAAGTATTGTAACGAAATGAAGATACTGATTTTAGATATTATATCATAAATTTAGGCTATCCATATATCAAATAGCTATATATATCTCTATATCAAATAGCTATATATATCTCTATATCAAATAGCTATATATATCTCTATATCAAAGCTACAAGTAAAATTAAAGAAATGAATTTTTGTTCGGCTCAAACGAAATTTTATTTAAATATTGCATCCATGCATATAACACGGTGCGGCTTTCAAAAAGGAACTTTAATAAAAGATTTTGTTTTCATATTCGGGTCAGTAAGAAGAAAACTAAAATGCAAACTGACTTCCGAGTAATTTGCTTTCTTTCTCCTCATGAAATGTATCTTAGTTCAACTTTTTTTCCAACTATGTAATAATTTAATCTCTTAATTGTATAGTAAGAAACAGCGTTTTTAAACTATGTTTCTCACAGTTTTTACTTCCTAAAAACAGAGGAATTACAGTGGGATAAAAATTTTAATTTTTTTTTGTAAAACGTTAATGCAGAATATCACTTAAGTAATCATCATGATAGTCACACTCAGTATGACTATCATGGTCGGATAAAAAAAAGAAAATTATCTTTCTTAATCTACATTTTTGTTTACGTTCTGCTAAATTCTGGTTGGCATTTCAGTTTCAGTACCCTAGCAACATTCCCAGATGTTGAGCACTGGCGCCATTTAAGAAACGTGCTTTAATAATTTGAACTACAGATAATATTTCTCTATATTTTACTCACGTTTATTCTAAATATAATTAAAACGCATTTTATGATTAAGTCCCTCAAACAGATTGTAAATAATACGTGTTAACGTGAACTACGCTTTCAAAGCATGCGTGGGCATTCTGAGCATGTTAAATGTCGCGTTAGTTTCTAGAAACCGGTCTTAGATCGAGCAAAATATTCTTGGCTTTTATCGGTTAAATAATTCTAGAGCCAAGTATGATCTCCCTGCAGAATCAAGGGTCAGACTATATAAAATATTTTTTTTAGAATTTAGTGTATAAATGAAACAAAATAAAATTAAATTATCATTTTCATTACTAACTAATAAAACAGTAATGATTGTAAAAACAATTAAAAAATAGCAATGAAAATAATCAAAAGATAATCGATTGTCAGTATTTTTATTCGTATATTACCGTCATACAAATGTAACCTATTCATAAACACATTTTAAAGACATGACTGTGCGTAGCTCAGAAAATTTCAGTATTACGACCAATTGTTGACAAATAATTCAAAAGAATAGTAAAGATTTTTGTTAGTTCTATTCGTTATGTATTTTCGATCTTTTGTGCTTCAACCTCGAGTACAATTGTTTACACATTAGTGTACTGAGTATGTGTTTCCTTTTTGGGAACTTTCGTAAATTCAGGTATTTTTCTAAACTAAATATAATTCTATAAACAATATTGAAGGGCAGAGCACCGGATTAACAAGTTTTTCAAGCCACAAAGATTTTCCAAGCATGCCGTTAAGAAATCATGGAAAGGCTTCTAAATTTTTTATTGCGAAATTTGTTGCCCATGATTGTCTTAAACAGTAATCAAGGAAAACTTTTGAACTACGTAGTTACGTCTTATAAGAAAGACATTAAACAACATTTTGCTTTTATCTAGGTCCGCCTCGTTTGGTCCCAGAAGCCTATGAAATGGAACGGGTGGTTCCAGAGGGGGCCAAAGTCCAACTTCCCTGTCCAGTGCAGGCCGATCCGGACACACTGTTTTTCGAATGGTATCATGGCAAGGAGCCATTAAACATCTTTCATGAAGATCGGTTCCGCGTCCAAAGTAATGGCGTCCTCAAGATCAAGGCTGCCGTCCCAGAGGATTCTGGACTCTACATTTGCAGAGCAGTAAACGGATTTGGGAAATTAGATACGAACGTGACCCTCGTAGTACTCGGTCAGTGCAAAACAATATATTTTATAGGTTTTAAGGAACAAATGTAATCCTTCGAAACATCAATCTGAACATATTGTATTTATGTGTTGTCAACAATGTTTCGTTAGACAGTTGTAGATTCCATAAAAAGAGAATTGTGCTTATTTCCAGTTTTATTGATAGCCCTTATGTGTATTCTCAATAAGGTTACGAAGTATTTTGAAATTCACCTTTGGAGAAAATTTTAAATTATGGGAAACAATGTGTAAAATTACTAGAAATATTATTAAAATTTAATTCCTAGGAACTGATTTGGAAAATATATAGTCTTAAAAGTTTTAGAACGTATAATTTCTGAAACAATTATCAGTAAGAGTTTTTGTTAGAACTGAAAGCTTCTTTAAGTAATTCTAATACAAACATATGAATGCTGTAAGAATAATTAAGCTTTAGAAATTAGAGGTTCTAGCTGATATTCTTTGAATTCACTAAAGGCTTAATATTTTTATTTCATTTCTGTAAGGATACTTTAACCCAGCAATATGTTTTTGAGACTTTTTAATCCAATTATATCATCAAAACCTAAACCTATAAAAATTACTCAGTGTGGTTTTTAACATATACAAAAGAAGGAAAAGTAAGTTTTTAGTTTAAAAGATTAAATTAGTTGGTTAATTTCGCTATAATACCATTTTTAATGATTTTCTAGGTTATGTTAAGTTTTTATATACAGCAAAGCACACAAGAGCTATCTGCCTGAGGGCAGGGATTCCTCCTTCGTAGAGGACCTTTTTAAGGAAAACTGGCTTGTATTCACATTACACATACGGAAAACTACCAGAAAGCTCCCCTACAGCTAGTCCGTAAGGTATGACACTTACTTGAGAATCCGGGTCGAGTTACTAGTGTCTACCGATTTTACTTGTCAACCGCTGGTGGGCTGAAATCGTTTCCTAAATAGGCGAGAAGGCCTGGAATATTTAGCTTTTTTATATTCTAAGTATTCTCTTGTTTCCTCAATGTCGTTGTTCCCGGTTAAGAAGCTGGAATTACATAACTATGTTGCGCAAATCAAGATATGAAATCTAAGGAATGCTGCTTTATGATTAAATCACAGTCTATGAAAATCAAAGCATTTAAATTAGCTACCTGAAATATGAATCAGGTATCTGATATATATTCTCGAAATACAGACGTAAAAACCAGATTCAGCTATAATAATGAAGGATAAAAAATACCTACAAGCAGTGATGTCTAATATGAGTACGTACTTTCTTAAATTTAAGAATGAACTGTAGGGGCGTATGATTTTTTTTTTAAATCAAACGAAAATTCAACATCCTTCCTAGATGGTTAAGCCTTAAAGACAAGGAATAAATCTGCCAAAATTACCTTTTTTCTTATTGATATTTTGGATTCTTAACCTCTAATTTATCGACCGAGTATCTGACCGCGCATTTCTAGCAAAAGAGATACGACTATCGAAATCTGACAATTCCTTCAGACTTCGAAATCTTGTGGATGAATGTGCTAGCAACGTGGGAAAACCTTAACTTTCTAACTGCCTTTCAATAAAAATTTATCCTTCTTAATCGTGAATTTGCGCAATGTGTAACGGAAATACAAGCTAGCTTCTCTTCGAAAGCCCACCTCCTACGCCAAATACCTGAAACAAAAGTAACTACCTATCTGCCAAATACCAATAAAGAAAATACAGAATATAATAGTCATAATAATTTTCCATAAACTGCTTTATATGATACATCAGATAAAACCGTGAATAGCGTTTTATACACCAATTGCTATTATCTTATTATTTATCTGTAACCGGCTACTATTCAAGTGATATAAATTGCTGAAGGCGTTTATCATCAAATTTTCTTTCTATCAAATCACTATTATTAAAAAAAAGATAAGCAAAAATAAAAATGAAGAAAGAAAGAAAAGAAAAAAAGAAGAAAAAAGTTTTTGATTTATCATTTCTATAGAAATTTTCTAAATTTATCTTTAAAATAATATTGAAAATTTTCGGCAAATTTCTGAAATATTATTGGTAATAGTAACTTACACTAGAATAACTAGTAATTGAAACGGCAATTCGAGACATTTAACTGCAGAAGGGCTATTAGAAATTTGTTTTATTCTAAAATGATTGACACTGAAATAAGTTTTATACGCAAAATTGAAATATGAATGAAGAAGCAACAACATTATATTGCTTTGTGAATGTCTTCAAACCAAAATATACATATGGAAAATGAGCTTTCAAAAAGAGAAAGGTAATAAATGGACTTCTAGACTCAGGAAGCAACTAAAGATGTTCATTCTGACAATGATGAAAACGGGTTATCTAAGAAGGAGTATTACCTCTGAAAGATCCATTAAATTTGTCTGTAACAAAAAGCTGAAAAGAATTGAAATTTGATGGCAATGATAAACTTCGAACTTCACTTAAGAAATTCATAATGCGAGATAATGTTATTGCTTTCGAAACAATGGGCAAAAGAATAATAAACTTGGGACAGAAGAATACGTTGTTTGGGATTAAACCCATTTCCAAGCAAAATTAATACGAGTTTTTGATTCTTTAATTATTTTTATTGCCAAACAACAGATACGAACGGTCAACTTAATTTTAGGCGCAGTGTGGGTTTTTACTTATACAAAAAGTAATTAAAAATTTAAACATTATTGAAGTAATCATTTTTAAATGAGTATTTTAAAAGTGAAGAAACAAAGTCCAAGTGTTAAATTTCTGTGTACACTATTTTAATATACAAATGCATCATACTACTTAATACGATTTACTACGTAAAATTAGCAATAAAAAGTAGTTATTCATGTGCTATGCAAATTTTAATGGCAAATAAATATAGGTAGATTTCAAAACTTTTCAATGCACTTCATTTATTTATTTAAATACGCATAAGTAATAACCAACAAACAATTTATTATTTACGTGTTTATTTTTCTTTCCATTAATTGTATGATAACTACTTTTATTTTTATATAGCTAACACAGTACAGTAATAAAGTAACTGATAAGAAATTGATATTCGATTATTTCAATGCTTATCTGTAATGCAGTCAAACTGAATCCATTTATATATAATATTATCCATTATACGTTTTTCTACAGTTCTCGAGAAATCTGTAAATTTCATTTTTTCGAGAAAATCTGCCGAAGAAATTTAAGCACTAATTTTTACTTTTATCCTTTCAAATTCATCTAACAAACCAAATGGAAGTGGCAGCGTGCAATTTAAAACATCATTAGAGTTTTTCGATATTTCATCAAAATGCAGGCAAAAGGATCTCCAACGTGAAATAATTTTTGCTTTTAAAAAGCGGTTTCGTTTACATTAGACAAGCTAAAATTACAAAGCATACAAATTACGCTTAATTCTCTTAGACTTTTACAGTTATTTAAATTACAACTATATTGACACTTGTAATAATTACTTACTGTCTCAATAAAATTTCCGATATTATCAAACAAATTCTGTTTATTGAGAAATTATTTAAGGTATTTATGATAACACTGTCAATGAATTATTTAGAAATTAGTGGCATAAAAATCTTTCATATCCTCTTTTTTGGCAGTTATCATATCAGATATTTATATTAAATTTGATTTCATTGTGTTATTAAGACGGAATTTTAAATGCTTTCAAAAAAGGTGATTCATCTCGGAAATTGACAAATATCTGACTGTGCAAATCGGCAAGTTTCCTTTTTGGTAAGCCAAAAAAACTGAGCATCTAGCAACATAACTACCTGAATTGATCGAAACTTTTTGTCGAAGTAATCAAATGCTCTTCATTTGAATTATTCCCTTGAATAAAATTCACTTGAAAATGCACATGTAAATGATCATATTACGCATCAAATACCTCGTTAGAAACCTTAATAAAGTGTTGATATTAATTATACATTTTCTTGTTCTGATACAGATTTCTTGATAATACTTACAGTGACTCCTGTTCACATATGTTCGGTTAATTTTATTGTGAAGAACGAGTATATTAAATAAATATTAATTAACTCCTATTTAAAGTCAAGAGACACATATGAGATTATATTAAAAATTGTTGATTAACTCATATTTAAAGGCAAAAAACACATATGAGGATTTTTATTCTGGTCGGCGAAGTAAACGTTTAATGACGAGAAAGTCTGATTTCCATATTTTGCCTTATCAATTTGTGATAGTTTTCCAAGAGATAAGAAGTTACAATAAATTTCACTCAAGCAAAAAATGTTGGTTGTGTCCAGACCCGTAGAATTTATATTTGGAGGCAACCGAAGAATTTACCTGGGCAATCTTAGGGAAGCACTCCAGGGATATCTATGCGCGAGAATTTACGCCTGGGGGAAGGATTTTCTAATGGAAAAGTTTTTAGTTTGAAAAAAAATGTTGAAGCATATTTAAAAGCAAGAAATTTAAAATTTTAATACCGGTATTTACGTTAGAAAATGCTGCATCAGAAAACCATATAGTTCAGATGAAAAGTAAGAAAGATATATGCTTATGAATGTTAATAAAATTATTTCTCTAAAGTTGATGAGAATGCGTTTTCTTTCAGCAACAAGAACATCTTGTGTAAATACTAATTTAAACAGTTTAATAAAACAATGTTTGAAGCTCATTTTCCTCGAATTTCTGAAAAACAAAATATAGAAAATCAAACAGTAGTCAATGAAATAATAGCTAATGTTTTGTTTTTTCTAGAAAAAACATAGATTGTATCTTAAAAATCAATTATAACGTTATGTGAAGTACATATTTAAATTTTCAAATTATCAAAAGTGCTTGTGGGAATGATTAAATAACCTAGAAGAGAGACATAGTGCAAATTATTTCGCATTTAAATCTTTCATAAAGAAGATTTGGACCATGATGACCACAATACAATATGAGGATGAACTCGGTCATCTGCCCTATCGAAATAGAAATACAAAAGGAAGTAATCGTACTACGAAATAGAAATACAAAAGGAAGTAATCGTACTATCGAAATAGAAATACAAAAGAAAGTAATCGTACTATCGAAATAGAAATGCGAAAGAAAGTAATTACTTCCATTCAAAATTTGTTTTCCGTTTAAATGAGCATTTAGAAATAACTGAATTTTTAAAAAAGTTTGCTTTAATATATTTTTAATTTTTATTGGTTTTTAGTAGACTGTTTTCGGGAGGGGAGTGCATTTCGTTCGTTTGCAAGTAATCAAAGAGGGTGTTTATATAAACCTTACGCTGGATATACTCGTGATAAAAAGTAGTACAATATACACCGCATACAAAAGCTTTTTTTCAAACGTTTATAGACATCTGTATACTTCGTACTCAAGGAGTTGTAGCATGTAGGTTTGGACTCCTGGCCACCCCATTCGCTTAAAACCTCATCAAACTGGACTATTTCGTATGGAGTCACATTCAAACATTTTTCTGCTCTTTAAAGCACCGTTCTTTAGAGAAACTCAAGTTCATGGTCATTTCGGTCTCACGGTAATCCTTGAAAGTAAATGAGCAGCAAAAGAAGTAATTTGCAGGGTGTGTGACTGAAAGTTTAAAGATGTCTGTCATATTTAATATTAGACATTGGACCTGTGCTTCAGTGAAACTTGACACATAAAGTTTTCATATGAAATTGCAAATTATTTCTACTATGTGTACATCCAAAACTATTACCATTATTTGAAAGCTTTTCTTAAAATTATGATAGTATACTATTAAAAAATAACGATAAGTATTATAAGTTTTCAAAACTGGATTTTAAGCATTACTAGAAAATCGTACAGAACGTTTTAAAACTGCCTTTAAAAAAACTTTCGTAATGCCTTGAGAACTATTAGATTCATTCTACGAAACGTGTTCATAAATAACTTGGTAAGTAGTTTCAGTAACAGTCATTAATAACAATAATTTAGTATTTGAAAAGTATTTGAATATTTTTATGTAAGACTTCAACTATATCAGCAGGTGGAAGTTAGTTAAAGGTAAGAAATATTGCATATAGCTGTTATTTAATAGCTGTATGTTTAAAACTTGTTTCTTGAAGTTCTTCAATTATTCCAGCCGATTCTGGTAATAATAACAGACAGATAAACTTGGAGACTTTCAGGGACCATATGGCTGAAGGGAATGAGGATGACAGAGGTAAGAAATATACGTTAAAACACCATTAAGTTAATGCTTGTACTTAAGTCAAAGACATTACTTTCGAATTTTTACGTTATTACTGATTACTAACTTTGAAACTAAATTTCAGTGGCTCCTTTCCTGACAAACGTGACTCGAACTAACAACGGAAGATTGCGTCGACCATTGGGTGGAACGCTGAGACTCTACTGCAAAGCCAGTGGTAATCCAGAACCTCAAGTCACTTGGTTGAGGAACGGCTTAACTCTTCTCAACATAACATTACCCCCTGGGTGGAAAAGAAGCCGCTGGAGCTTATATTTACGCAACCTGCAAGATCATGATGAGGGCAATTATACATGTATTGCCTATAATTTGTATGGACATGCTAATTACACAGTTGGCGTCGATGTTATTCCAGGTAAACAGTTTTTATTTAATGAGGTCCTACTAAGTTAAAAGTGCAGTTGAATAAGTAGATATCATTGAAAGTCTATATTAATAACCCTGAAAACAAAAATTTTGAAGACTTTCATTTTCTATCTGGCGCCTAATATTCACAAATTAACACTTTTAAAGTTGCGATTAATATTCTAAATTTTATCGTGGCACGATCTTAAAAATTTATTTAATATTGTCTGAACACGAGTCTGAGAACTCAAAACATAATTTTAAACTTTCAAGTAAATAAATTATTCATGCCCAGATTAGAATTCATGCACTAAGATCAGGAAATGATTAGTTTCTAATTACAACAAAAAAAAGGGGGTGAAGGAAGAGATTTATATTCCTAGGAAGGTGGACACTTCATAGCTAATAACACTTTTGAAAGTTGTGTTTGCAATCATACGAAATTGCCCACCAGCCGCCACACTAAATAAAGCCACTGAACACTGGCAGTTCGGTCCGATGTTCGAGTTCTTGCGAACGGGCTGGTTGCATGGGCGTGTTCGTGGTTTTCGCCCTGTGTAACGTGGATACGAGTCAGTTTCCCTTAAAAAGACCTCCACGGGGCATCCATCCCTTTCTGTGCAGTGCCTAAGGCAGCACGTAATAAGTGAATCTTACGAAACTGAGTCTTTGAACAGATCGATATTCTAATCATTGTACTACATGAGCTTATGGGAGAAATGTCTTTATATTGTTACAGTTTCATCCAGCTTCTTTTAAACAAGGTACAGTTAAGAGGAAATTTCTGGAAATTCAACATTTAACAAAAACTGGATTTTCACTTATGGTTGAATTAAGTTTTACTTTTTGTGGTGAAAAACCAGTCATGCATTCAGTACTTTTTACCTTAGATCGAACCCGAGTCAAACTGCTAGTATTTAAGTCTTAATCATTCAACCAGTAGTAAGGTAACTGCTAGTATTCAACCAGTATTAACCAGTAATAAGGCTGTCGCACTTACGGAAGACACTTGATATCATGTTGTTCAATAGAAATTTGAAGGCTTTTGTTGTAGATTTTCGTACCTATTTAGAACATTTGAGAAATAATTATTTTCCTGGATAGAAATACTTTATGATGTGTGTTATCTGTAGCTACATAGAAATGATCTGTCTGGTTGATGTCGATTTGTTAAATACAAAATGAATTTTACCGATGAAGAAGTTTGTTTCTATTTCATGGTGTGGTGTATTTAATTATGGCAAAGCACACTAGGGCTATCTGCCTAAGGGAAGGGATGCCTTTCATGGAGGACTTTCTAAGGGAAACTGGCTCGTATACACGTTACACATGGGGAAAACCACGAAAACGCCCATGCAGCCAGCCCGTTCGCGGGATTCGAACCTCGGACCGAACTACCAGTGTTCAGCGACTTTACCTCTCGGCCGCTGGTGGGCGTCTCTACTTCATGAATTCCCAGTGAAAGTAAGTGAAAATTTAGTTAGCACCGATGGATAAGAAAACTGTCTCCTTGTAATAAGCTGGAGGAATGATTCCTATGCTTCTTGGCAGGAATCTATATTTTTTCCTTTAAAAACCTTCTTCCCAAATACGGAATCATGAGTCGGTCTTATAAACGGCAACAGGTTACAAAAGATGATGATCTGTATGTGCTTTAACATTAAAATGCTTTTTATTATGAACTCAATAAAAAATATTTTTGTGTTATATCAAGATTTCTGCTGAAAGCCTAATAACATTCATTCTCAGCTAGTAGTTTTGGGTTTCGCAGTATGTTCTTAAAGAATAGGTATGTCTTTTACTAGGAGACAGCCCACCAGCTGCCGAGCGGTAAAGTCGCTGAACACTGGTAGTTCGGTCCGAGGTTCGAATCCCGTGAACGGGCTGGCTGCATGGGCGTTTTCGTGGTTTTCCCCATGTGTAACGCGTATACGAGCCAGTTTCCCTTAGAAAGTCCTCCCCTTAGGCATCTCTCACCTTAGGCAGGCAGCCCTCGAGGCTCTGCCATAATCACACACACACACACACCCAAGACACAACATAAGCTTGCGTTTACTTCTAGTTGTTTACTCAACTCTTGACAGCACTTAGCAATACTTTTGCGATACAATTTGACAAACCAAGCATTGGTTGCCATTTTCTGTCTATTCAACGTTGCATTCAGATCGAAGCTATATTGATTTATTTTCTAAATTTTAAGCCATTCTCGCATTTTTAGATAGGCAGTTTTTCAAATCTTCTTTCGAGTGAAAAAGTAGCAATAATATAACTGAAGATGCGGCGAATAAAAAATAAAAGAATATTGTTAAAACGCATACAGGAAACCAGTTACTTTGCCGATTTCTTTCGATCATTCCTCTGATCATCGCCAGGCCCTTGTCAGCGTCTGATAAAATAAATTAGGCATCTACAGAATTCGCCAACTGTCTTATTGAGATAGCTAATTTACTGTTATTCTTTCATTTAACAGCGCACAGTGCCTAAATACTCGTATTTACTTGAAACACTAAGCTAAATAATAACTTCCAGTAAGTCTTAATAAAACTCTATTAAACTAACCAAACAATAATTTTACGATTAATACTTAAAGTTTTATCTTTTAATATAAGACTTTGGGGGTGTATAATTATGGCAAAGCCTCGAGGGCTATCTGCCTAAGGGAAGGGATGGCTTTTTGGAGGACTTTCTAAGGGAAACTGGCTCGTAATACACGTTACACATGGGGAAAACCACGAAAACGCCTATGCAGCCAGCCCGTTCGCGGGATTCGAACCTCGGACCGAACTACCAGTGTTCAGCGACTTTACCGCTCGGCCGCTGGTGAGCCTTTTACTTTGGACTTTGGATTTACTGGATTATTGCAAAGCACAATAGAGTTATCTACCTAATGGGAGGGGGTCTACGTAGGGAATTTTCTGAAAAAAATTGGCTTCTATTCCTGTTGTACATGATTGAATCCGGCTCGAACTACCAAAGTTTAACGGTCTTATCCACTCGGTCACTAGTGGACTCAAAGACGTTCAGTCATGTACCGGAGAAAGTTTTCTGAGTTTCATGATATTTTTCTCTCGAATGTGTGTCTGAATTGCTCAGTACCAGTTAAAATGACTTGGTTTGGTCTAGTTTATGCCTTCGTGGAGGACATTCTAAGGGAAACTGGCTCGTATGCACGTTATACATAACGGAAAACCACGAAAACGCCCATACAGCCACCCCGTTTGCCTGGATTGGAATCGAGATCGGAATTACCAGTGTTCAGCGATTTTACCGTTCGGCCACTGGTGAGCCGACTTTTTCTTGTCTAAGCCGACATGACATCTTACTTAGTGTTATACGGCTGAGAAGCACGTCAGTTTTAACTTAAAAACTAGGTCAAATTCAATCGCAATTAGCATTAATTTTATTTAAAAAATTAAGTAAAATTTCACATTACAGAATATGATGAATCTTATTTTACAAAAGAGGTAGAAGTTAATGAATCTGCCACCTGCATTGATACCTAAAATATTTATTTTCAAATTCATTTCCGCTCATAAACTAATTAGTTTCCCTTAAAAATCGTCCACATTCATCAAAACGGTTTCTATTTCGATAATTGTAATGCAGATAATTTTTCTCCTGGTGTTTAAAATTCTTATTATGTCATAATTGTTTAATCCTTTTGGTTCTGTTTTGTTCAATAGGTGGAGCCATAATCGTAGCTTCTTATAGTATCATGTGTTTTTGCTTTTGGACGTGTAGTGTTGCAGTAGGGTTGCAGCAACCTGTGTTGCAGCTAGAGGATTAAACTCGAATTAATCCTCTAGCTGCAAGTTTGTCTTCGACTGAAAAAATAAAGATACAGATAAAGAGATTTAAAAAATAACAACAATAATAAAATAAAGAGATTTAACAAATTAAGTCGCGCTTTATCACCGACAAACAGCGGACGAGTGGATAAGCCTGTTTAACTCTTGTAATATGAATGGAGTTCAAAACCCCAGCAAACGCTGGCTTTAGTATTTTAAAACGCAGTCTTAGCTTTATTTTTAAAGTCTTGGTCAAACGTTTTGATAAAGATGTTATAATAATCGAAAGATATGTGGATTATTTTCGCAGGCATTCGCAAAAAACCAGAGCTACGCGGTATCCATCCAATCAATACAACCGTCGAAGAAGGGGGTTCCGCAGTCTTTCAGTGCAGAGTAAAAAGTGAAATTATTCCTCATGTTCAGGTATGTTGCTTTGAAAATTCCAAATATGTTCTTTCTTTTATAAAGTAAATATTTTTTACTTCTTTTCTGAAATATCAAGTGTAATGATTCAAGCGGTGGTCCTTCAATCCAGTTTAAAAACGGAATTATTGTTGTAGTATAATAGCAATATCTTGTTTCAATAGCATGTAAAATCTGAATATGTCTTCTATAAATTCTTCCGTTAACTAGACGTAAATATTTTATTTCATTATATAGGATTCCTTATGACTACCCGTAAATAAATCCATAAACCAGGGATGTCAAACTCATAGGTACACTTGGGCCAAACAAACAAGGTTTAACTTTAGGCGGGCCGCAAAAAAAAAAAAATCAATATTCATAGAAACGTAGATTTATTTCGAATAATACAATAATAAACATATATATATATATTTATATAGAAAAGAACAAGAAAAATTTAATGTTTACGTCCTGATACTTGACATCTCTTCTCTGCTATTATCTTTCCTATTTCGGGAGAAATTTTGTTTGCAGTGATAACTTTCAACGCTGACCCAAGGTGAGCATCATTAATACGGTTTCTAATAGGAGACTTATTACCTTTCATGACTGAAAATAACTGCTCGCACCGATAAGTGCTACCAAACATGGAAATAATTTCATATGCGAATTTTCGAGTATTTTCAAACCTGGCTGGTAAATATTTGTAAAATTCAGGCACGCCCACTTCAATGAATTTTGCTTTCAAATTTGAGTTGCATTGAATCTCGATCACCTCCATTTGCATATGGCTGGGTACTGAGTCAATACGTATTAAGAAAATCGAAGAAAACAAAAAAAAAATTGTCTTCGAGGGAACTAAAATCATTAAACCTCGTTTCAAATTCAGTTGTTAAATTTGCAATTTTTTTCTGTGTATTTTTTATACGAACAAGTATCATCTAAACTTGATTTGTTCATGCTGCACGTCGGGAAGTGCGTCAAATCTTCATTTTTAAGTTGTTTTTCCCAAAGAACTAGTTGACATTTGAATGCTTTAATTATGTCAAACATGTTCGTAATGATATGATCTTTTCCTTGTAACGATAAATTTAAATCGGTTAAGTGTTTGGTTATATCAACCAAGAAAGATAAATCTTGTATCCATATTGGATCGTAAAACAAACTTACGTCTTGATTTTTCGTTTTTAAAAACTGACATATTTCTTCTTTCAAATCCCAGAATTGTTTGAGAATCTTGGAGCAAGATAACCAACGTACCTCGGTATAGTAGGACAAACCCGAATATTCACTATCTAACTCACTTAAGAAAGCAGTGAATTGACGCTGATTTAAACCTCGAGATCTTATAAAATTTATAACTTTTTTTATATATGACAAAAACATTCTCCATATTTATTACTTTCGTGCATAGAACTTCTTGATGTATAATACAATGCATATGATGAATGTTTGAACCGTGAATTTCACTAAGTTTTTTTCTTAGTAATGCTACGAAGCCCTTGTTTTTTCCCGGTCATTGATGGAGCGCCATCTGTAGCTACAGAATTTAATTTTGCCAAAGGTAGATTGTATTTCTGCAGAAGTCCAAAAACACAAGTAAATATATCTTCTCCTGTGGTAGTACCAGGCATCGGTATTAGTTCCAGTAATTCCTCAAAAATGTTAAAATTCTTGTCACAAGAACGAAGAAACACTGCTAATTGAGCTTTGCCACTAATGTCCGTGCTCTCGTCACAGGCAATGGAGAAACTTTCGAAACTAGATGATTTTGCTTTGATCTGATCACTTAAATTCGCGGCTAAATCAGTAACTCTTTCCGCAACTGTATTTCGAGACAATGAAATTGATTGAAAAGCCTTCACATTTCCAGGACAAACAATTTCTCCAGCTTTCATTAGGCATTCCTTGATGAAATCACCGTCAGTAAAAGGCTTCGAATGTTTAGCTATCAACTCGGACAAGACGTAGCTTGCATGTACCGCCGCTTCACTTTCTTGCAATACTTTACTAAACATGGACTGTTGCTTTTTCACTCCTAACTTGAGCTCTTTCAACTTTTCTTCTCTCATTAATCCTTCGTAATTGTTATATTTCGATTTGTGTTGTTCGTAATGACGTTTAATATTATATAACTTTGGTACATTAATAGTATTATTACATATCAAGCAGATTATTTTATCTTTTATTTCACAGCAAAAATATTCTAATTCCCATTTTACTTGGAATATTCTATGTTCGTCAGCGATTTTTCGTTTAATTTTACTACCACTTGGTTTTGATATAGACATACTGAATACAAAGGGCTGGAATAAACACGGTTAACGTTAAAAAGTTAACAAAAATTTATTCTTTCCACAAGAGATAAATCAAAATGCTGAAATATTTCTTCAAAAATATTCTAACAATATCACAAAATGTCAAACGTTTAGCAAAAATCAATTCAAAACAGAGAAACTAATTCTATCTCACAGCGAAATCGCTACAAATCAATCACAGCATTAAGTAAACAAACAGTTCGCTAGAACTACAGCTACTACTGAGATGAGTTGTTTGTTCTCGGCTTTTATAAGCTTTATAATTAATTTCTCGAATATACTGGAAACATCTATAAATATCTGGATTTTTGTGGATGGCAACAGCAATTACGAGATATTTATTTATTAGGTATTAAATGCACGCGCTGTTCTATTTTTAACCTTCCAACGCAGCTGTCTTTTCAAAAATCGTCTGCGTTGCTAAGGCAACATGAAGCAAATCTAATTACAATTCTAAATAAAAAAAACTAAATAAATAAATAACTATGAAATCCGTAACAATATGAATTAAGTAATAATTAATAATAAAGCAAAGTGCATGCACATGCATGCACCAATATATCGTACAAAACTATGATTGGAAAACTGAGACCATGAGTTCGGCCACATTCGGCTATCGGGGGATGCGTACAAGTTCTGAGTGCACGTGTCCCCCAAAAGCCGAAGGTAGCTGAACGCAAGCTACTCACACGCATTTGTAATTTAAGTAGTGTGTGTGTCAGCTCGCTGTGAGTAATCTAACAACACTGAATAAATTATCGTTAATTACTTAGCAGTAAACATTTCATTTTTTTCTTCGTCGATATGTTATTTTATTATTTGCCGATATATTGGCCGGGCCGCAAAAATATTTGTTGTGGGCCGCATGCGGCCCGCGAGTTTGACATCTGCTGTACCTGCTGTTCTTCTTTCATCACACAAATGAACTGTGTTTTGTCAAGTTCTTAAAAATATACTTTTTGTGCCGTTTTTCGGGACGGAAAATAAGTTATAAAAAACAATCGCGATACATAAAATGTGTGCAAGAATTAAACATATTTGTTATATAACTCTAAAAATTTTTAATTAAAAATTGACCATAATCTTAGGTCACTTTAAATAACAGGGATCGTAATAATAAGGAAGTGCCCTATAATTATCTCAGATGAACCAGGTTGGTTCTGAATTTTTTTTTTCATCTTTTATCTAGAAACTATGAAACCAATATAATGCTGCCTACTTATTAAATTTCGTGCGAAATTTTTGCGTTCATTCTTTCATTTGTCTTTTCAGTGGTTAAAACAGGCAGAGCCAGATGAAATAAATGATCACAAAGTTATAAAAGTACACGGAGAATATTTTAAGATACTGAAATCTTCTGAAGTACTCGAAAGGGCCGACGGGTCATTCGTCAATAAACTTGTCATAGCTGGAGTCTCAAAGAAGGACGCTGGGAAATACATCTGTTTAGGAGCCAATTCCATGGGCTACAGTTTTCGTAGTGCCTTCCTGACTATTCGAGAAAGTAATATTTTAGTTTCATTTTTATATTAAAAAAACTCTTTTTTCCTATGTGTTTCTTCACAGTTAGAAGCCTTATTCTTAAACTATTCAACAGAACATTAGATAGAATAAAAATAAAGAATTACTTTGTAGTAAATAATGAGGCGTGCATTGTCGGGTAATTCAAGCAACCCAGAAAGACTTATTGTTTATGATCGCTTTCTGAGAGAAGAAAAATTAATATAAAAGTGTCCAAAAAGTAGTAAAAAGGTTTTGTATGTTTTTTAATTACAGTATATGATCAAAAGTATCCTAACACCCTAAAGAAATGCTAGATTTAACCACTGACATAATACAGTGTGCTGAAGTGCGTATAAGAAGGAACAGTTACGTCCAGAGACATTTCGGCGGTTAATCTTTCCGCCGCTAGCTGATATTAGGAACTTGCCAGTCCTAGAGCCATCTGTAATTGATATTGTGAACCAAATCTTTCCTTGATCAGGTTTTAGGTAGATAATACCGATAATATAAAGGTTTTAGGTATATAATACCAATAATATAAAGGTTTTAGGTAGATATACCGTATAATTTAATACCAATTTTAACCAAGAGAGCGTGATAGTTTAATGCGTGTTCATCTGGCCGATGCTGTCGTCCGATTTTAGAACCTGGGATCAGCCTGACGCTTTTATCATTTACGCCAAAAACGGCTGACGTAAGATTTTATATCACTTTGTAAGAGGCAAGTTATGATGTCTTTCGTGGGCGGTTCTCGCAGCTCCCCCGCAACATCGTATCAAACCTTACAAGTTGAGATGGGTAGGAAACGTAAACTCAGTGAATTTTGAACGAACTATATGATCAGATTCTTCCATCAAGGAAAATCTCCTCGCGAAATTTTGGCAGTGTTAAAAGGCGGTACATTCAACTACGAATGATACTATTGCGAAGTAGAAAACTAAAGACTGCTTCATAGAATAATGAAACAACTGTGCGGTATAAGCCGAAAACATTTACGGAAAATTCCACTGAACGTTTTTGCATGTAACATCGTGATAACAACAATTCATGGGTAGCTGCAGAATTTAGGTGTTAACGGAAGAGCATCTGAATGTAATCATATATTGTATCAGGTCCAAAGCGCGTTAGTCATTGATCCTTCACAACCTAATTCTTTCTTGGAATGAAACTCATCTTTTGTTTGAAGCTGCACATTAATGCAGCTAGCACCAAGCGTCGTTTAGCATGGTATACAGTGAAACTTTAACTGGAGTCTTGGATAACGGCGAAGTAAAAATATGAATCTCGGTACACACTTCGTGAAATATTTTGGGTATGGAGAATACCTCTGAATGATATTTTCGGGAGTGTATTGCTCATCAAGGCAAGTTTTGGATGAAAAAACAATTCCGATATAATTCTGTTTATTGTAGTTTGATTTTAATGCACTAGTTGCTATGAAGCGAAATATGAACAAAGAGGTCAATCTTAATACTTTAGGCAACTCAATGTAGAATACCCATAGTGTAGAATACCTTGGATGAGTATTCTTCCTATTCAGCTTACCGGACTTCAACCAACACAAGCATATAGTTTCTGATGGATATCTGTGGAAATGGAACGGCAGGAACAGAGTTTCAATCTAAATCCTCTAAAATAGCTAGGGGATAAGCCAGAACGTCATTCCCTAGTCAAATCACGTTGCCCAAAATCGCTGATAGAACTTTATACTGCTCTTCTGTAAGAATAAAATATTTCAGGAAAACCATCTAACTGATAGCCTTCATTATAATGAGATGCACCCGAACGGGCTCTCATTGTAGATTAATTTCGACTGTGCTGGTATGCATATACGTAAGTTAATACTCTGTTCCACAAGTGCTCGAATTCTTTTGATTGTATAAGGTTTGATTTCGTTTGGTTTATTTAATTATGGCAAAGCACACTAGGGCTATCTGTCTAAGGGGAGGGATGCCTTCGTGTAGGACTTTCTAAGGTAAACTGACTCCTATACACGTTACACATGGCGAAACCACGAAAACGCCATGCAGTCAGCCCGTTTCGCGGGATTCGAACCTCGGACCGAACTACCAGTGTTCAGCGACTTTACTGCTCGGCCGCTGGTGGGCTTGATTGTATAAGGATATGTCTGTTAATGCTTGGAAAGCTGACAAACAGCGGTCGAGTGGATAAGGCTGTTTAATACCTGTTATGCGACCCGAGTTCAAACTCCAGCAAACGCTGGCTGCATAGACATTACATTAAGTTTTCATGTTTTTTCTCATACGTAACGCAAACACAAATCAGTTACCTTTAGAATGTCCTCAGGGAAGGTTGATTAATTGAATAATACACAACGCGTAAAAGCTATCTGATTGTATAAGAAGTGCGAGCATGTAGGATTTTTAAAGGGAGCACACAGGAAAGACCGCAAATACGACGTTATGCAGCTAACCCATTCGCCGGGATTTAAACCTGGGTCGAACTACCATTTTACAATGTTAACCCCTTAAGCAGATAGTAGTCATATGCATTCCTTTAATCAATTAAACGTAACCCGAGTAAGCATTCTCAGTGCGAGGTTACGGAGGAAATTCTGAGTTTTTTCATTCTGATTGTATTTTTAGGTGATCTTAAAGGTAATTGCCTAATTAAAATATTTTTTCTTTTTTGCAGCATCCGAAACCTACATTGCAGAAATGGAAGGCATCGAAAGCGATGATCTTTCTGTTCAATTCAATACCCTTTTGATAACTATACCCGTGTCCCTGGGAATCCTCATCACATTTTTGGCTTTCCTGGGATTGCACTACTACTGCTACTACTACAAACCTCGAAACGGCAATCCAGGTTTGCATGGCAATTCTAGCAGAAAAACGGAAACAGCTCCCCAACCGGCCTGTCCTACAGTTAATGAAGTGTCAATCATGGGCAGCCCGGATTTTCACCGTGTACTGGAGTCGTCCGATGGTACATGGTCTCACGTCCAAAGCTCGTTAGTCATTGATCCTGCACAACCTGACTCTTTTTCGGAATGCGACTCATCTTTTGTATTTCTAGGTGACTTAAACGTGTATCCGGATATCATTTATAAAGACAGAGGACAAATTCTTGGTCTTTATTCACCCAACATTCCCATTCCAGAAAAAATGTCTTGTTTGGATAGAGTGTGAAATCGGATTTCTGCAGCGCAGACACAGCACCTGAAAATAACTGAGCACGATTCCGTATTTCTGAGAATTCATGTTTGTAAAATCGTACGCATCTCGTCGGTGGTCTTACGCCATTACTCCATTTGTGTCCTACCAGTTGACGGTATATTTTAATCCTACGTGGACTTTAGTTGGTTAAGCTGACTTTTAGGATTGCTGAAGGCGCACATAAAAAGACTTCTATTGTTATAAAAAATATATGTTAATTCACTTTGACAGAATTACCGATAAAACTCAGTCAGAGGTAAATATAAAACACTAAATGTTAGACTTTTAAACAGGCACAATTCATCATTACACTGAAGTTGGTTTTATGGGAAAGTTTCAGCATTAAAAGAAGTTAGTTTTATAGGAAAGCTTGTAAAAGAAACATGTTACCTTATTACCGGCTTAAGAAAAACTACTGTATAAAAAAAAACTCAACATTTTATATTTCACTATAAAACCAGCTTCAGACTAGGATTGAATTTTGCCTGATTTAAATATGTTAGCCATGTGAAAAGAAAATGCCATAGTTTTATACCAGTAATTTCTACGATGACATAGTCTACTGTACTGTAATTTAAAAATTTACCAAAGTTTAAATAAAAGCTTTCATATGTAACCCCAAAAACATCAACTATTCAGTAAAAAATAAGGAGTAATTTTATAAATATAATAAGTCAAATCTTTTTATAAACAGTATATAGAGACATGCAAGTATTTTTCTAATACTCTTCTAAATCAGCGTGAGAAGAGCATTGTTTTTACTCTTCAAAGAGAAATCGCAAGATTTCATTTGCCAGCAGCTTGCTAATTATTTTAAAATCTCCATCTAAAGAGCTTTGTATATCAGCATTAGATTGCTTACAAGCCAAATACAGCTACAGCGAACATAATTTTACAAAAAAAAAAAAAAAAAAAAGTATCCAAACCGAACGTGTTCCTTTTATAGGGCGCAAAAAAAAAATACCTCTCCACAATCAAATGCTTAAATCAAACAGATTAATTGGTATCTGAAGTTTGAGAATTCCAGTGTTTCGAGTGTGTATTTAAACTTAAGAGGATTACATTTTAGCTCTAAATTTTAGTAGGAGCTTCTCTAACAATGTATTTTGTTCAAATTATAACTTGTTTCTATTTATGAAACGTTTAATTTAATCTGTTTGTTTTTATCCAGTTCGAAATAAAAATGTAACTGCAAGTATTTTAACTGTACGAAGAATGTTAATGTCTCCATATGCCAAATGAAATGTGTTTTAAAATAAAATGATGTTTTTTATGGTTGACTCTCTCTCTCTCAGCATTTTACTAAATATCATTGAAAATAATATATATTCATGAGTATATAAAAGTACAAATGATAGTATGATCTCACTGTTTCTCTAAAAGTTTAGTAATAACGTGAAACAGCTTATAAGTTTATAAATTCGTAATAACGTGAAATATGTAATTTATATGTTATATCGGTTATAAATTACATTTTTAATATATAAATCTGTTTTAAAGAGGCATATATTCATTGTTTTAAAGAATAAACAAACCTTTCCGAATTAATTCTTGTTTTCCAATTGTAGCCAACTTCAGTACTTAATTTATACAAGAATATAAAAGCTAGTAGTAAGATGAAATATTCTACCAGATCAATACAGAAGAGAAAGTTTCCTATCAAGGCTCATGAATCTTATATCTGAAAAGACGAAATTAACAAGTATTTAACAGCTAATCTTAGGAGCAAATTTAATTACAATTTTGACTTTGGATCTCCAGAAAGCTTCCTCCATTCGTGTAATGGATTGTATTGAAACTTTTCACATTCACAAGAATTTATCTTTTAGTTAATGACTTTAATTCCAATGCAGTCCTTCCGAACGGTTTTAAAATTCTCTAAACTTAGTTTTTCAATCTTCATTCTTATTTCTGCCGACAGATGACGCTATTTTCTCGTTCACTTTTACTCCTTTTCGGGTGTAAATTAAACCAAGGCTTTCTCTTCGTTGCTCAAGAAAATAAAAAATTCAATTCAAGATCTATAAGATCCAGCGTCGCACAAGGAAGCATTCTCGGTCCAGTGCTATATTTTTTCTACATATCAAATTTTCCTCACCCTGGTTTGGACAATTACTCTCTGTTAGCATGTTATGCCGACGATACGGCGATTTCAATTAAATCCATCCAAGCTAATCATGCAATAGACAAAATGCAAAATTACCTCTATACCGTAGAAGACTGCTGAACACATTAATCCGTAAAAATCAATGCTAGTAAGTCACAACTTTTAATTCTCAGCAAAACTAAGAAAACATAGCTTTTAAAGATCTCTACCTTTTCTAGGAAGCTGTTCCTCTGGTCAATAGACCAAATATTTAGGAATTATTTTGAACCAAAGGATCACATGGTCTAACCACATTAATAGTGTCAAGAGCAAAGCCATGGGCATAATATGCAGATTTCTCCCGATCATTGGAAAATATTCAAATCTTAGCTTGCGTACCAAAAAACATATTTATACCACTTGCATTCAACCGATACTTTGTTATGCTGCTCTTGCTTGGAACACGGTCACTCAAACTCAACTGCATCAATTACAAGTAGTTCAAAACAAATTTCTGCGCATTATTACTGATTCACACTATCTTATCCGCAATGAACTTTTACACAGAGACTTGAAACTTGAGACGATTCCAGATTACATCAGAAGATCTAATGAAAAATTCTTCAACAAAGCTGTGCAATGTGACTTTGTTAATTACTCCCATGTCTTTAATTATGAAATTCTCTTCGAAGATAGAAGCCTCAGACCACTTGCAGCTCACACCTTCATGGGAGGAGACGACAACTTTTTCACTTAGCTCCTCAATTGGTAGCTGTTTATACTTCCAATGCATCTGATTTTGATTGAAGTTCTTCTGTAGCTTGAATATTGTTCTTGAAGATTGATAAAACTAATGCTGTGAGAATTTTCGCATTGTGATTGTTGATAGCAATTGGTAGTTGTGGACTGTATATTAATTCATAAAAGTCAAGTGAGAAACTTAACAACATTTATTTTCTTTTAAGAACAATAATGCCGCTTAAACGGGCAAAGAGTCAGTAAGGAATAATTAACAATTGACTGCCGCTTTGTTCGGGCAGAGGAACGGAGACTCCATGTGGACCGAGTGCATCCCTATCGCTTACTGATTAGTACTGGGCTCTCGCCACTAACATTACGTGGCGCTGCAAACATTAAGCCAGTACAAATAGACATAAATATTCTAACCGAGAAAGAACATTCCGCCTGGCATTGAAATTCGATACAAAAATTTCATTTAATTAATTAGTGACAAATCACAATATTTCAAAACTGATAATCACATAAATAATTGTCAGATTACTACAGATCTAAAACTGAATTATGGAGTTTAAGAACATTAAATATTGAAAATAGTAATTATGCGAACAATATATATTAAGTTGACATAAAAAGTGTTACAATACACATACATTTCAAAATAAGCCATACAAATCCTTTAAACATATAATAATTATTAAATTCTTCTTGTAATGTATAAACTGATTCCACAAATATATATAAAGTCAGTAGAAATTTGAATATTACATATGCAATAAAACAGATCTTTGATATAGATCTAGTGCAGATTCCTGAAGCAGTTTTTAACTTTAGCTACACGTACCTTACCATCTGTACCAGGGATCGTCTCTAAAATTCTACCTAAGGCCCAATGGCAAGGCGGCAAATTCTCATCCTTAAGTAAAACCATTGCACCTGTTTCTAGATTGAATTTTTGAAACCTTTATTGCGCTTTCAAACATCTGTACAGGAATTGTCTCTAAAATTCTACCTAAGGCTCATTGCAAGGCGGCAAATCTCATCCTTAAATAAAATCATTGACCTGTTTCTAATTGGATTTCTGCTGCATTTATTGCGCTGTTGCAAGTGATTGAGGTAATCTGTTTACCAACGCTTCTATATTAATTGAACAAATTTTGTTGTCCGCTGCCACCTTGATAACCTATTATCAGTGATTTCAATAAGTTCAGGCTCTGGTATAGACATGATTGGACGGCCGACTAAAAAATGTCCTGGCCTTAAAACTTCAAATGCATTAATACCATTAGACATAGGGGTTAACGGGCGTGAATTTAAAATTCCTTCAATCTGAGTAATGATTGTAAGAAATTCTTCCATAGTAACCTTAGTGCTTCCTATAGTTCTTCTAAGATGATACGTAAAGGATTTAACTCCCGCTTCCCACAGTCCACCAAAATTCGGTGATATAGGGGGAATTAATTTCCAGACTATAGATTCTGAGGTGAAATAGCTGGATAACGCCTCATCTGGTTTTCTTATCAATTTCTGTAAACGCTTTAACTCTGTATGAGCCCCCTTAAAATTTGTGGCATTATCTGTAATGATGGAAGAGATTTTCCCTCTTCTCGCACAAAATCGCTTAAGAGCTGCTATAAAGGCTTCAGACGTCAAGTCTGTCACTACCTCCAAATGGATTGCCTTTGTGGATAAACAATACATAACATAATTTTAGGAAAACATAACAACATAGATTTTAGGAAAAATGCCCTAACGTTGACCCTTGAATTATACATGAAATGGTCCGCAAAAGTCAACGCCACAATTAAAAAAGGGTGAAGTCGGAGTTATACGCTCAGTGGGAAGATTACCTATGACCTGACTTGCTGCAATTGGTTTGTTTTTAAAACAAATCACATAAGCATGAACTATCTTACGAGCCAAGCCCTTGCCGTGAATGGGCCAATATTTCAAACGCACCTGATGAAGTAAACCCTGCGCTCCAATATGTAGGTACTTCTTATGAAAATATTCAAAAATCAATACAGTAACTCTATGAGTAGGAGGCAAAATTAACTGGTGTTTACAATCAAATAATAATTTGAGTTTTTTAATCTTCCTCCAAATCTTAAAAGAGAATTCTCATCTAGAAAAGGGTCAAGAACTTTTAACTTACTTTGTGCAGGAATAGGTTTACCTCGTCGAAGAGCTGTAATTTACGAATTAATGGCAGTTAATTGGGCATGCCGTATAAGAAACTCCTCAGCCTTTTTCATCTCATCTATAATTAAATATCCCTGCATCTTATCCTGGAATTTACAATTTAAGATAAACCTGAAAATAAAACTGAGAATTCTGATTAGCTTAGGAAAATTATTGGAAAGTTTCAAAAAAGTGTCTATAAAATGTTCATTCATTGTCAAAGTCAGAACTGGATTCGATGATTGTTTCAGTTCTTTCTCATACTCCTCGTCCGACGAATAAGAAATGCATTCTGGAAATGGAAGTTGCTGATTGAGGAACTCAGGACCTGACCACCACAAGGAATTAGCCAAAAGTTCACTAGTGTCTGCTCCTCGGGATATTTATATCCGCTGGATTTTCCTTTGAGGCAACATGACCCCATTTGAATTGGTTTGACTCAAGTTTTGAATTTCAGCAATTCGATTGCTCACAAAAGTTTTTTGAGCTTGTACGCAGGCGTGTTTATCCATGCTAGAACAATAGTAGAATCACACCACAAATAAACATCATCGATACTTAGCTTGCAGAGCTCTGTTATTACCTTTGACACAAACCTACACAGAAGTAATGCTCCACACAATTCAAGACGTGGAATTGTAACAGGCTTTATAGGAGAAACTCTGGATTTGCTACAAAGGAGATTGGAATAATTCATTCCATCAGTGGTAGTACAATACAACGGATGTAAATAGCCTGCACCATAAGCCTTTTCCGAAGCGTCCGAGAACCCATGGAATCTCAGTTCTAACGGAATGTTCAGTTAAAACATATCTGGGAATATTCAATTGATCGATTAACTCAAGCTGGGAAAGGAATTTTTTCATTCATTCACACAACTTCCTTGGGAGGTAATTCCTCGTTCCAGTCCAGTTTCAGCAACCATAGTCTTTGCATGAATATTTTTGCCCTCGTTACTATGGGTCCGATGAGACCCAAGGGATCAAAAAGCTTAGCTATTTCAGATAACACCTGACATTTAGTAAAACTATCTTGATTGTTCACAGCTGTTTTGAAAGTCAAGTGATCATCCTTCGGTTTCCAGAGCATTCCTAGCGTCTTCACTACACTTTCTTGAGATTCAAAGGAATATTCCTTTGTTGAAATATCATGCAGTAGGTCAGGATGATTGGACACCCATTTATGTAGCTCCATACCTCCACGACGAAGCATTTGTACTAATTCAGACTGAAGCTCCTTTGCTTCTTCTAAAGTATTTCCTCCTGTCAGGATATCATCCATATAAAAATCCGTAGATGTGACCGCAGCCGCCCTGGGAAAATAGTCCTGTTCGTCAGCTGCCAATGCCTTTAAGGTTCTCATGGCTAAGAACGGCGCGCTAGTAGTGCCGTATGTAACCGTACGTAACCTATACACTTGAACTGGGGCCTCGCGGCTTGGCTTCCAAACAATTCTCTGTAAATTTCTTTGCGATGGATGCATGAGTATTTGTCGATACATCTGCTTAATATCGGCACTAAAGGCAAAGCGATGTTTTCTAAACCTGGAAACTATAGAAAAAAGATCTTGAATTGTGCCTCCGTTCAATAGAATTGAATTTAGCAAATAGCCACTGGATGATTTACACGATGCATCGAAAACAACTCCAATATTTCCAATAGAAAACTTATTCCAATAGAAATTGATATTTCCAATTTTCTCCGGGCGATAAACTGCGTGATGGGGAATGTAGTAACAAGTGTCACAGTTATCCACGGGCATAACAGTTTCTATGTGATTTAAGCTTAAATTCCTTATTCGTGATGAACCCAGCATGGAAGTAGCATCATCCTTCATAGGTAATTTTACTATGTAATCTACCTGTTTTATCACTCGAGTATGTTTCATTAAAATGCCTTTCGCAAAATATTTCTTCTTCATTCTTTACGACTTCCTTACCATCTCCCGGGAAGGATTCTAATTCGAAAAGCTTCTTGATTGCATTATCGAGACTTGGTTCCTTTATCAAATAACAATAGGATTGATTATTAAGAGTAGGTAGAATCCCTGTCATTAAATAATCAAATTCTGTGTTTTGCAATATTATGTTTCAATTCAGCGCTTGAACTCTACCTTCTTTCAAGATGTTAAAGAATAACTCATTTCCTATCAATATATTGATTTTACCAGGTGTATAGAAGTTAGGGTCTGCTAATTTAATGTCATGCGGTATCGTCAGATTACAAATATCCAGTTTTGTCGAAGGAATTACATCTGTTATTTTTGGAATAATACATAATTCTAAATTGTGAGAAAAGGTTTCTGTTTCGTTCGAAATATGGGCTAAAATCTTCGCTTTGATTGAATGAGCTGATCCACTTATTCCCGAAATGTGCGTTCGGATGGGTTTAGTTTTCAAACCCAAAAATTCTGCGCATTCTTTGCTGATGAGGCTCATTTGCGAACCGCAGTCCAGTAAGGCTCTATTCTGCAGCGCTGCCCGAACACATTCGTCACATAAATAACCACCGTACTCAGTAAGACAGAGTTTCCCGCACCGGAAATGGATGCAAGACTATGTACTGCTTGCTGTACATTGTCACCCGAAGCTTCTTCGATTCGGAGGTTTTTGTTTTCCCCTGGTTTGGAGGAAAGCAGGGAGTGTCCGTTGGACTCTGAGGGTCATTGTCCATATGGAGAAGGGAATGATGTTTTCGGAAACAGTGGCTGCACGAAAAGTTTGAACTGCATTCTCCGGAATGAGTTTTTAGACAATTCACACATATTTTTTTATTTTTGGCGATAACGAGCCTATTTCCAATATTCATTTGTTTGAACGCACTACATTTAAAGAGGGCATGGTTTCCTTTACAATGGATACATTTTTTTTTGAGTTGGAATGAATTGAATTTATAACAAAACATTCTGATTTTACACCGATACTGGGTTTAAGAGGAAATTTGATAGGCATATTTTTATGAATGCTTTCTAGTACCAAAGTTCGGTTTTCAAGAAAATTAAAAAATTTATCCAATAATGGAACATCTTTAGATTTTAAGGTAAGCTCAAATTGCTTCCGGGTATCCTTGTCAATTTTCTGAAGGAGAATATTTATTAAAATTGCGTTAGATAGCCTATCAAGATTGTACTCTAACGTTTTTGCGTTAAGCCTATCAAGATTGTACTCTAACGCTTTTAAGTAGATTGCGTTTGGTATGATCTAATAATCGGCGAAGTTCCTTAGGTGATTCCTGCTGAATTTTTTCTCTTGATTCAAAATATTTTGAATATGACTATCCCACTATCGCCCGCCCGTTTATTTTCATATCTTAATTCTAAAGCTTGAAACAGTGACTTGTATGTATCTTCGGAATTCTCGATATTTTTTGTTTCTCCTTTAAGAGCAGCCTTTAAATAATAAAGTTTTTGTGCTCAGTTAATTTCTCATTTTCAGCAATTAAGATTATGAATTGGCATTTAAAATCATTAAATTGTTCATATTTTCCCGAGAATTGAGGTAAAGGTATTTCAGGCAATTTAACATTAATATTTTCAACAGTATTTTTACGTAGTGGTAATGCATTAACTTTTGATTTTAATTTTGAAAGGAGGTATTTGAGACTTACCTCCATTGTCTCCAGATCGTCCTCCAGTTCTTCAATAATTTCACAAGATTCCTCTATGGCGACCTCTGCTGGTAGATTGAAGTACCGCTGTTTTAATTCATCCAAGGATCTCTTTATTCCTGATAGTGATTGCAATTTCACTTCTAAAAAAGGATTCACTTTCTTCATTTTCGACGAAGTCACGCAGAGAATGTTCCAGTTTTGTTACTTTCGGTTTTAGGCAACCGCGTTGCCTATTCAGAGATATTATATTATCCATAGTTGCTGTTCTTCCTGCGGGTCGGTTAGGACCAAAATGTTGATAGCCATTGGTACTTGTGGACTGTATATTAATTCATAAAAGTCAAGTTGAGAAACTTAACACATTTATTTTCTTTCAAGAACAATAATGCCGCTTAAACGGGCCAAAAGTGAGTAAGGAATAATTAACAATTGACTGCCGCTTTGTTCGGGCAGAGGAACGGAGACTCGATGTGGACCGAGTGCATTCCTATCGCTTACTGATTAGTACTGGGCTCTCGCCACTAACATTACGTGACGCTGCAAACATTAAGCCAGTACAAATAGACATAAATATTCTAACCGAGACGGAACAGTGATGATATAGCAGTGTTGTAAATAGGTTGCTTAGGTTGTTGTTGAGTTGCTGCAGTGTATTGCGTTGAATAGTTGTATTAAATTGTGTGTATAGTTGTATTGTATTGTGTTGTATTTAGCACATTGATTGAGGTTGTTTAGTTGTATTTGAATTTGTCATTGGAACCATTGCTGTGGTGTATCTTCTCATATTGTTGTCATTGATTTGCATAGTCTTGGGTCCTCCTTGAAAGCTATGATTGCTCGTCACGTTTTGCGAACTTGTCCGATTGGATCGTCTTGCTCCTTTTGGTACTTCTCTTCTTTCCCTTTTCTCCG